AAACACCCTAATATGTATTTATATTTAAATACAGGAAAACGCTTTCGTGCTGTTTCACAAATTAGCACTATCGTAACACATGACTTTGCATTTACCTTTTAGATTTCTGGTAATTCGAAGTTAGTTACAGCTTTTGTTTGTTTGCTTTCCGTCACCTTTTTCAGTAATTTATTTGACTTTACGCGTTTTCAAATTTGCATGTATTTACAACGTTATTTAACATTTAATAAAATTTTTACTACAATTCCATCCACTGCCAAGGATCGAAAACAAACAACCCAGCGCAAAATTCATCATCAACTGGGACCGCAAAAATGAACTCCGAAAAAACACGAATGTCAGTTGAAAGATAATTACAAACAAATCAAACAAAGAAAGAAGGTAGAGCAATGACAGCACTGACATATCGAGCGAATTGACAATCAGCTGCTATGAGGAGTTGCCATAAGCTCCGAAAGTTTTGTATTTGACTAAAATTTGGAAGAAATTTTCTTAGCCCCATGATTCAATTATTATTATCATTATTGAATCATGCCTTAGCCCCACATACATATGTATGTATAAATTATTGAATGAATAAATAACGTACTATAAACAAATTGGAACAATTTTAGAGGGGTAATTTAACAACAAATTCCTTAAATCAATAAGGTTCAGCGTTTTGAAACTTTATATAGACATCTATTAGAACCCCCCATATTTACCATAATACCGTGTTCGGTGGTTAGTAAAGTAAAGATTTAATACGCATTAGTTTATACCTACTTTGTATTTTTCTTCATAAATACCAAGATGTGTTTAATTGCTGGGATGCATTTACCCTAACCCTTTAAAATAAATAATACCGCGTGAAGGCTGAAATACCTTGCAACCAGCTTTGGTTGTTCGCAGTATTGTTTAAAAAATGACCGTTGAACTCTTAATAAAAAGCCCATTAATTATTTTAAGAATATCGTAAGCCACGAATTTGCTTTATTTCGAAACTCAAAACCTTAACTACGTTTGTAAAACAAAACATCAACTCTAAAAATAAAAAACCATTACATCGGCTTAAAAAAGCCAAAATACCAAAATAGAAACGAACTTATATGTACGTGCAAGAGATTAAGAAAAAACATTCAGCTCTATCGCCAATTCCATGTAAATAAATTTTTCACAAGATTTTACAAGCAAAACAAAAACAAATTGGGAAAAGTTGTTCTTGTTTTATTTTATAATTTTTGGGGAAAATTGTTCACACGGAGTTCCCGATAAGGCCGATTCAATTCAACAATGTTTTACACAAGAAAAGGTGGAATTTCGAGTTTAAAAATTAATTTTCCAATTAAAACAGAAAAGGCTAAATCAATGATAGTGTAGACAAAAGATGCCGCATAAAATGTAAATTTAATCGGCTTAAAACATTTATAACTAATATTTAGAGCTACATTCGTAAATTAGTACATATATATAATATATATTTATTGAATATATATTTATATACATATAGCATATTATATTGATTTTATTATACTTTGTTGTATTCATATTTGAAATTTATTAAATTTTCTGTCGCATATCTTGCTGAAGAGAATTTCATCAATTCTGATTTTTCCATCGAGTTATCTAAACTAAAATTTTCTTCATACACCCCAAAGTATTTAAATCATTATAGCATATGTGTANATCAATTCTGATTTTTCCATCGAGTTATCTAAACTAAAATTTTCTTCATACACCCCAAAGTATTTAAATCATTATAGCATATGTGTATCCACATAAAATTTTCAAATGTTTCTTTTTGTTTTCCTTTGCAATACAGTAATCTCTTCACATATGCTGCTCTGCCAACTTGTCCGTCCTCCCATAGGTAAATGCGCCCTAATTTTTGCCATAAACATTTTCATCGGAATAGGCGATGTACAGGAAATAGTCCTCCTCATGATGTTCCTGGGAAATAGGTATTATATAACAACAAAGATCACAAAATAATCGGCAATTTTTATTTTTTTACCTGATAAAGAGATCCCATTGTTGCCGATGTTGGTGGAATTACATTGTTGACAAAAAAGAAGAGTGCGTCTTCCGGGCGCAAATGTATACGCTTACGAATCAAAAAATAGAATTGGCCAACTGTTAAGTCAGATGGTACCAAATATTTCTTTTTATCCAAATCGCCAATGCGTGCTTTGGGCGCCTTCTCCACAATAACCTGCAAAAGAGTAGAAA